CAAGGTCAATCTGAGCCCATTTCCCAGGACAATAGCTACTTGGCCCAGCAGAGATCCTCTCCAAAGCGCTCCCATTTGCACACAATCAGCAGGCTGGACTTGCTGAAGGTAAAATGTCACTTGCCCAGACTGGGTGCAAGGGCGACTAGGGCAATCCTGTTACGCTTTGGGCATGCACTCTGCCCACAGTGCTTCAGCTCAGCTCTTCCACACCAAGTGGCTCTTCCTTCCTAGACCTTATGTACCTGGAATGGCAAGGGTTAAGCCATCGTTGAGAGGGGCAAGGAGAGGCTGCACCTCCCAGTCCTTACATTAGTCCACCACAAACGCAGAACGAGAACCTCTCCTCCTCTTGACCCTGAGTCCCTCACTTCTCCAGCAGACCAGCGGCCCACACTACTCTCAGTGGCGCCTTTCAGGTCCTAGTTTCAGGAATCAAATGAACCAAGGAGCTCAGGCTGAACCTCTCCATGCCAGAATGGCTCCTGCTTTCTTCTGCATAAATGAAAATATGGCATGCTTTTGCTTCTGTCTGCACATCTGCAAGTAGCCTTCCATGCCACCGCAGGTATACACATGGCAGAGCCATCAGCGTCTGCCCTCACTCCCCGCGGTAAGGACTCAGCAGCGCCGGGGCTCAGTGCCTTGGTAAGGGCTCTTCAGGGGCTTTGGTCCTTCCCTGGTGTCTGCCTCAGCTCACCCCAGTGACAACCACCCTTCAGTTCTTGGGAGAATAGTCTATGATAAATACCAGATGCTTAAGAGCTATTATCTTGTTAATAATAACACCCTTACAACTTAGGTCAGGATCTGGCATTATTATCATCTACATCTTCCAGACACAAATATTGATATAAAATGCTTAAGTGATTTCTGTTGCATTAAATAAAGCGTGACCAGATAACAGCAAATAGGAAATAAGACCTAAGTGTTCCAGTCCCAATCCACTATGGGGACCGCTACACCATGCTCACTCTAAGAAGGCTAGATATTTACTTTTGACTGGTTCCAACCTGGATTGAAAATCCTATTTCCAGCAGTGAGCTCCAGAAAAAACTGAATATGCAAACATGCGCCTGACCAGGAAACACATTTGCATATGAAATGAGGGGTGATTGACTAAGGTCAGTTCACTTATTTGACCAACACCTGTTGGGGGTCTGCTCTCTACCTCTAAGGCAAATACTAGGGTCATCATGAATCATCATTTAAAATAAGTATGCCATCACTTGGGGAAACTAAAGGATGGAAAAAAGGAGATGCAGAGGCGATGGATACTCCCCCAGCACCGGTTACAGGTATAGAGAGGAATCAGTTCCAGAAATATGCCAGTCATCATTCTTGACTCCTCTCTCCCCCTTAACTACACGAGATATCAATGTACCACTCACGTTATTATTGACATTAAACCAAATCCCCTCCTGTTACAGGGCAGAGAGAGGGGCAGCCCAAACCCCGCAAACCTGCCTATTCTAAATGGGTTCTGCCATCCGCCGCATCAACACAAAACATAGGAGACTTTAATGGGAAGGAACATTAATACAATTTGGAAACAATACAAGAAAGGCAAAGAATCTAGTTTCTAAATCAAGCACCCAAAGTGACCCGTCCCCTCGTGGGTAAAACTCCATCCAAATGGGATTGGCCCAGAGCAAGTTCCCAAAACCTGCCCCAAGTCTAAAGCATCTTCCAGTGGGGACCCATAGAAAAGGGTCAGAAACAACCAGACAAGCCTGGAAGGAAAAGAGCAAAATCAAAATCAAGATAAAAGCTGCCATGGTCATTTCCCCACGGGTCTCACCCACATCTGTGTCACCCAGTCCACGACCAAAGGGCAAGTGCAGTTTCTTCACGTGTCTCTTGGCTCCATGTGCCTCCTCCAGGTCTCCTTCTGGCTCCATCCTGCTTCCTTCCTCAGTCTCCTCTGCAGCTTCTTCTCTCCCTGCTCAGCTCCACCCTCCCTTGGGTGGGGCAGGGAACCTGGAACCTCCCCCCTTCCTGGGGACCACCCTGTTACACTCGCAGCCCTGAATAGTGCTCTCAAATCTGTAGATATTGTTCATCCTTCCTACCCTACGGAACCCAAACCATCAGCTTTCTCTCTGCTTTCCCAGACTGACAGAAGAACTTATAAAAACTGTACATCAGATTGCAGGGTTCCCCATCACACAACCCTCCAAAGACTTCCCACTGCATTGAAAATGAAATTCAAACCCCTCACCCTGATAGACACAGCCCTCAATACCTTGCTGGTGTGGGCCCGGCCTCCCAGCTCCTCCACATGCGCCTCCAGCCACAATAACATACAATTCCTCACATGTATGCTGATAGTTGCCATCTGTTTCTCTCCCTTCCCTCCACCCCTCCCATTCCTGTGTCTTCAGATGTCCAGTTCTCCCCGCCTGAAATTCACTTCCACCTCCTCTTTGCCAGGCCAGCCACCAATTCACATTTCTGATCCCAGTCAAACATCTCTTCCCCTAGGGGGCTTCCCTCACCCAGGAAAGCTGAGTTAGCTGCCATCCCGAGGCTTTGCAAGGCATCCAGGGGGTCTCCCCATAGTAGAGCATTGTTCACACCGTGTCTGCCCAGCCCACTCTTTGTCTGTCTTTCCCCAGGAGACTGTTGAGAGCCCCAAGGGGGCAGGGGCCAATGGCAGCTTTTCCAGCTATTATGGTGAAGGTACTGTAAAATTTCAGGGACCCCCAGCCCCCACAGGCAAGAGAGCAAAGCCATCTTCACAGTGTGCAGCAATAGGCTGCCTGGAGGTAAATCCAGTCTTTTCACACCCACTGAGGATCAAGGAGTCAAATAAAAAAAATACATTAACAATGGGTAACCAGCCTTTGCAGCTCAGCAAGGCATTCTTTAGGAAGGAAGAAGGCATTGCCTTCCTCTAGCTAGCATCAGCATATATTTAGCCAGAACAACTTAGAAGTAGAGGCCCCTCCTCGCAAGAAGAATTACATTCTTAATGTCAATGACTCACAGTTCCTACCCAAATAAACTAAATTCAAATTTGTGTTTATCGGAACAGCTCTAACAGAGTAAAATCTGTCCCACTGCTTCCCAGGCTGGAGTGCTCCCTTTGATGATCTAATAAACTCTTTGTCTAAGCTATTGCTGAGACTTTATTTTCAGTTAACAATATCACTAGCACCTAGAATCAGCCCTGATACAGAGCCTGCACCCAGTGCACGTTCAATGAATGAATAAGTGATATTTTAACAGGGTAATCCCCAAGGAAAAGGGAGGTTCCAGGTTCTCTGCCCCACCTTAAAGGGTGCAGCTAACTGGGAGAAGCTAGACAAGACTGGGAGAAGGAAGGCGATCCGGAAGACTTGGAGGAGGCTAGTGGAGTGGAGACATGTGACGAAGCCCTGCTTGCTTCTCGGCCTTAGACTTGTACCAGGGACGAGAGGGACATAGAAGGAGACACTTGAAAGAGACAAAGACATGGGTGAGCGCCCCAGGGGGGAGGCTGACAATGGCAGCCTTCATCTTGACTTGTATTTTGCTTTTGCTCCATTCCTTCCAGAAGTGCCTGGCTCCTTCTGCCCTTTTCCTGTGGGTCCCCACCAGAAGGTTCCTTAGACTAGTGGCAAGTTTTTGGGCCTCAGGCCTATCCTGTTTGACTGGGCATTTACCCACAAGGGGATGGGTAATTTGGGGTGTTTAATTGGAAACTAATTTAACTATATTATTTCTCTTCTCTTTACTGCACACTAATTGTATTAGTTATTCTCTATTGAAGGTCTTATGCACTAGAGTATGTTTTGTCTTGATGTAGTGAATTGCAGAATCTGTTTAGAGCAGGCAGGTTAGGGGGTGCTGGGGTACCCCTCAACCTGCCCTGTAGCAAAATGAATGGAATCATCCTCAAATTCTACGTAGTAACATCTGGGCAGCATTTGTGGAAGTTTATTTACTTTTATGCAACTGCTGAATTCAAAACCTGAGTGACTTGCTTAACTATAGTCCAAATTCCCAAGAATGATATTACATGTTAAATATTTATCCACAGTCTATTTGACTTAGTAACACTAGTCTTATAATTACACATTATTGTTTGAATAAAATTGATTAAGCTGCTTTCTGCCCTAGTAGTGCTTACTACTAAACAATCTATTCCCTTTTTATACCCTTTTTCGTCTTGTAAATTTTTGTTTGCATTGGGGTACAGGAGAAGGTCTGGGATAATGTGGCCCTGGGGAATGCCCCTTCAGGGACATGTCCATTCAAATCTTTGTGGGAGCATTTTAGGAACTTCCTTTTTTTCTTGGAGCTACCACCTGCCCTTCAGAGTTGTTCCCCTCCCCCTGCCCCCCCAGGAGGAGAATTTCCTCTTTTTCTTTCAGACAACCCTATTCCCGCCTCTTCCTGGTCCCTAATGAGTTCCTCTTTGGGGGAGGATTTCTTCCTTCTGAGGAGACCTCTACTCAGCTGGCTCTTCAGCATCACCATGAACTAGCTTCTTCAAAAAGGTTTTCTTTTTCTTGGGTTTGGAACAAGAGAAAGGTGGGTCTACCATTCCATTCTCCTCAGGGGTTACTGTCTTTTCTTCTTTTGGGGTGTTTCACATGTGTCCCCACACTCCTCTGGGGTACTGCTGCTGTTTTCTGAAGAGGTGAGGGCATGGCAGCCATGCCCTTTCTTTTCCTTCCTCAAGGTTTCTTCTGTTTCCCCACATCATCAACTCAGCAGCCACTTCCCCTCTCTGAACCACTGCCACCCTCAGGACATCCAGATTCACTAGTTGAGTCTCTTCAGTTTCATAGAAGGACAGTTGCTCCTCAACTTGTTCTCAAATTTTCTCCCAAAATCCATTTGTGGACAGCTGGGAGAAGCAATCGATTCATGCATTAGTGGGCCAGGTATTGGGAGATGTGGCCCTTTTTCATGGCAGCTGCCTGACCAATGAAGGCGGAGTGGAAAATGAATCCATCCTTTGGCGTGTTCCACCTTGTCTTGGAGGTCTTGGGCTCTCTGCAGGGCTCTGGAATCACTCAGACACCATCACCCCCATGACACAGAAGCCTTAATAGGCCAGGGTGGCCTCATCGGCCATCACTATGAACAGTGTATATCTTGAATAGCTCAGGTTCTCTCTCATCCATGACATCAATTAAAAAAAAAATCACACTGCAGACACATATATGGATTTCTGATCACAGACCCCACCACTGAACGCTCCAGGACTCTGATCTTGGGTCCAAAAAAAATAAACAACAATAAAAATGCTATTTTAAAAAAATGGCTTGTACTTAAAATCTAGTTTTGCTCATTTAAAAAGATAGCTTCCCATGATTTTGTTCACAGATGGCATTTAAACATGTACATTGAGGCTGAATTCTGTGTAGTCTGTCTTCATGTATTCCAGTCCAGGAACCTGCTTGTTCATACATGGAGAGAAGGTATTTTTGATATTCCTGCTTAAAAGCTGGATTGGATGAGAATGGCCACTGAGTGGGTGGCAGGACATGGCATAAACAAGAACTGCCTGCAATGCCTACTGGAATCCTGAACTCCCTTCAGGAGGTAAGCCAGGCTCTCACTCTCCTCCCAGGCTTTGCCATTGCTGCTCCCACTTTCCAGATCACTCCTGTTCCTTCTTATCAACCAATATACACGAGTGCTCCTTCTTCAGGTAGCAGGTGAGATCTCCCAGCTCCAGCTACCGTCCAACAAGGTCCCTTTCCTGGGAGCTCCCCTAGCTTTCAGCACCCCAGGTCCGGGGACCAAAGTCTTGTCTATTTCTTTACTATTTCTTCCACCATGAGCTACATATGAACCAGAACAGGGACTCTCTTCCTCATCAGCATTTCTCCAGTACCTGGCACAGAGCCTGCCATCTGGCTGGTGCTTCTTGAATGAATGGCGTCCAGATTCTCAGGCATGTGTTCCTAAAGTGTTGTCTATCACCTGAAAATAAACGTATCTGCACACTCTCTGCTTACCAGAGGGAAACAGAACATATTAAACATTGTTGGGGCCTTTATTAGAAACTGGAGTCCACTTGGGGAGAGTTCTATTTCCGAAAAGCTATAAAGACATTGGGGAGGGTTCAGAAGATAGTGGGGGGCACAGAAAATAAGGTTGAGTCCTCAATACATAGGTTGAGAAATCTGTCCCCTGACACAAATACAGCACTCACAACACTAGCTACACAACCCAAACAAAGCCAAACACAGTTCCTGGCCACCTTGGGAGGTGGCTAGGGAGAGAAATAATGCATAGTAAAGGTAAGAGAGGACCACAGAACAAAAGTCCAGGCTTGGATATTTCTTCTAGTTGATGCCAAGTCCTCAGCACATTTCTCCTACTCCCCACCAATGATTGAGAAAAAAACCTAATTGTTACATATTTAAACCTAATTTGTGCTCCTGAACATAAGCCATGTCTCACACATAAAAGCAGCAGAGAAAAACAAATAAAAATGTCAAATTGTTCCAATACTAACTAGGAAGTTAAAATGTTCCAAATGACAGAATGAGTCAAATTTTGATTCGAACAAGTCTTTCTTGCACTTGCTTTATGGGTCCAGTTCTGTCCGAGGTACTAGGAATCCAGAGAGAAATGACAGGGTCCCTGAGTTCAAGAAGCTTATAATATATGAGGGAGAGGGATACAAAGCAAAAGGAAATCGACAGACAATGCAAAGAGCATAGGACAGCACTCCCAATTTAGGGATGTAGGTTAATGAGGGCGATCACAGAAGAAGTACGCTACTTCTCCAAAATCATTTATTGTGCAAAAAAACACCGTAAACAATAAACAGACCTAAGAGGACCCAGACAAGCCCTATTCTCTCTTCTCATGGTTCTCAAACTTGCAGGTCATCTGGATGAACACCCCCATTCTTCATTCAGACCCTTGATGGTTGGCTCCCTTGGGCTCTTCTTCTATGCACCATGTTATTTTGATAACACAGGGCTTAAGGTTGAGGAAATAATTCGAGTGTGTGAAAACAACCTCTCCTATCACTTAGCACAGAAGGGGCTCATCAACACCTGTGCTCATAGTGAAACTGTTCACAATAGTGAAAAGGTGGATGCAACCACCTGTCCAGCAACAAGTGAACGGAGAAGGAAAATGTGTTCTACACAGACATGATAGTTCATTTTTTGTGTCAACTTCACAAAGGGCTAAAAGGCTAACTGCACGGGGCTAAGGAATGTCCAGATCGTTGATAAAACATTACTTCTGGGTGTGTCTGTAAGGGTGTTTCTGGAAAAGGCAAGCATTTTTTTTTTAGATTTATTTATTTATTTATACAAGCACTGGGTACAGTCAGAAGCGTGGGAGGGTGAGAGAATTCACCAGAGCCAGAGCAGGGAGCAGAACAGGCAGACTGACGAAACACACTGCTGAGGGGAGCAATGGGCGGCAGGAGAGGTCTGCGTGCCATGTGGGACTCTTGCCAGCGGCCGGGGATCGAACTGGCACTGCAGAGGCTGCGGGCAGCTTCGCAGCCCCGTGCTCAACTGCTGAGCCACTGGGGAGGCCCAAAAGGCAAGCATTTGAGTGAGTTAGTAGACTGGACTGAGGAAAGAAGACAGCCCTCGTCAAAGTGGGCACATACTTGAAGGCCCCAAGAGAACAAAAAGGCAGAGGAAGGGTCAATGCACTCTTTTTTGGCCTGGGACGTCCATCTTCTTCTGTCCTCTGACATCTATCTCAGCTCCTGGTTCTCACACCTTTGGGCTCTGGAACTTACAGCAGCCCCAAACCCTCAGGAGTTCTGCCTCAGACGGAGAGTGACAGCATCACCTCGCCTCATTCTCAAGCTCTCAGACTTGGTCTACATTATACCATTGACCTTCCTGGTTCTCCAGTTTGTAGATAGCAGATTCAGTCTCTGTGACCACATGAGTCAATTCCTACAATATACATTTCTTTCCATTTCTGAATCTATTGGTTCTGTTTCTCTGGAGAACCCTGATTTACACAGCCTACCATGAAATATTAATCAGCCTTTGAAAGCGAGAAATTAGTGACATGCTACGATATGGGGGGACCTTGAGGACATTATGCAGAAGGAAACAAGCCAGTCACAAGAGACAGATAGTATATGATTCCATTTACATGAGGTATCTGAAGTAGGCAAAGTCATGGAAACCGTGGAAGGGGGGGTTCCCTGGGGGTGTGGGGCAGGAATGAGGAGTTGTTTAATGGGGACAGAGTATCCATTTCACAAAATGCAAAAGTTCTGGAGATTGGCTGCACCACCATGTGAACCAAGCAGTCCTGAACCATACACTTAAAACCGGTTAAAACAGCAAACTTGTTGTTATGAGTATTTTATCACAGTTAGAAATAAAAGCATTTCTAAAAAGGATCCGGCTTTCAAGTTCCATGGTCATGAACCACTAGCCCAGGAACAAGAGGTTATGGCCTACAAAGGCGCCAAGTGTGTAACTTGCGTACAAATACATTACTCCAAGTAACGAAAGCTTCCCCATCTAATGCATAAATAGGAAAACACGCACTATTTCCAACCTTCTACTCATGGGGAAGTAGAAGGATATGAGAGGAGAGGAACACACTTCTTAAAACTCTTCTTGCCTTTGTGGGGAAAAACAATACAAGACATCTTATTTAGGTCACAGCAGTTACTGTAAACATCCTAAGGAAAGCTTATTAATAACAGCCACCCACAAAGGACCTGGTTTCAACCATGGAGTGTCATGAAGTTAGTGGAAGGAAGGCTGGAGGAAAAGTGCCTGGATTTTAGAAATTAGAATATGAGCATCCTTTTCTAGTTCCATTTAGATTTGCAAACAGAGCTGATATTTTAAATAAGGAATTTGGACTAGATGGTGTCGAGTCCAGAGGGGCTTCAACTCTAAATCATAATAACTAATCACTTTCTTTTCTTTTTTTTTAAAGATTTATTTATTCATGCATACAAGATCCGGGGTACCAGCTAGATGCTTGGGAGGGTAAGAGGATTCACTAGCAACAGAGCAGGGAACAGAACAGGCAGACTGACCGAAATACACTGCTGAGGGGAGCAGCGGGCGAGACGGGAGAGGTCTGCTGCGCCACATGGGACTCCTGCTGGCCTGCTGGTATCGAACCCGCGCCACAGAGGCTGTGGACAGCTCCACAGTGCAGCGCTGAACCACCTGTGCCACCAGGGGAGGCCACTAATCACTTTCTTGACTAAAGCATAAAGGTCAGAGAAGCATCCTAAACATTTATGCCAATCCTTGTGTCTGCTACCAGCAAAGGAGGCCTCCCACCTGAATGTATCGGTAAGGACTCGTGGAAATGCACGGGGCAAGGCCCTGCCAATGGCTTGCTCTGTGACCTTGAGTAATGGCTGTCTCTCTGTGGGCCCCATCCCTTCCTCCCTGTAATGGGAAGGCTGGACCCAATGGTTAGTATGGTGCCAATCAGCCGTTATCCTCTCTGATTAAGAACCCCGAGAAACCAGGACCTCCCTGGTGGTGCAAGGGGTTAACTCTCAGCACTATGAAGCTCTTGGCAGCCACTGCAGCAACAGTTCGATCCCCAGCCAGGAAGCTGACCCACATGGCACAGCAGACCTTTCCTGTCTTGCCCACTGCTCCCCTCAGCAGTATGTTTCAGTAGATCTGCCTGTTCTGCTCCCCACTCTGTCTCTTGTGAATCCTCTCACTCCCGCACCTCTGGCCTACACTCCAGCTCTCGTACGCATAAATAAATAAATCTTAAAAAAAAAAAAAAACCCAGATGGTCACGCATGGAGAAGGTGACCACACACATGCCACAGAATTGCACGCTCCGACATCATTAAAGTGGTCAATTGTCATGTTGTATATTTTATCACAATAAAATAATTTTAAAAACCTGGGAAGCAAAAGCAGCCACTGAGCAATAGTTCAGTATGGCTGGCAACCGAATGTTTCAACAAGAGGGCTGTGGACCTGGCTTTTAGTTCTTTTTTTTTTTAATCACGGAAACCTTAATCCCTAAAGAAACATACAGATACACCAGAGACAGTGCTACATCAGGGAAATGCAAATTAAAACTACAATGAGATACCATCTTACACCAGTGCGAATGGCACATATTAAAAAAACTAGCAACAACA